AACCACTGTGAATTTTGAAAAAAAAATCGCAAGTCAAAGGCTTTTGCTGGCAGCTTTGTGTGGCTCAACCTAATGTAAAGAAACCTCAAGGAGGGTATTGTGCCAAAGGCACTTTCATCATTTCAAAACATCAGGTTCTGTTTGTAATTTCTCACTTAAACAGGCCTGTGAACCACAGTACAGTCTTCTCCGAGAAGATTATCTGCAGCAATAATGTCAGTCTTGACCTTCAGTCCTCCAGACATAGTTTTTCTTGGCTATGGGATAGTTAGATAAACTAGAGTTTAATTGGCTACCAAACCGTAACCAGACATTAGATTCAAAGCCAGGGAATATAGTGGAGGTCAGTGATGAGATGGGATCTGGACTGAGGGAATAAGGCTCTGTGGTGGAGCCAAGGAGGCTGTTACTGTAGGTCCCTGAGTTTGTTCAGAAGACAGAAATCTCTTCCTCTGTGACATGTTGTTCTTTTCTGGTTTTCCCACATAGCCAAGGAAAAGGGAATAAACTCTAGAACTTTACCTTCAAAACCCAGCTTTCTTAAAGGCAGTCTATTAAAATTCAAATGGAAAATGTCTTTGCTTTCGGTGTCTCCAACACACATTCTAGAACACGTATGTTGTAGAATCTAGTTCAAGATGGCCAGATGCAGCTGTTAGCTCCAGCACTTAGCAGCCATTCTAAAGTTCTGTCCCCTATTGCCTGAGGTTCCCACAACATGGGGACTGCATTTAACCCCTGAAGGAGACAGGAGGAAAATATAAACCAGGAAAATGAGTTGGCTCACATGCCCAAGGAAATGTGTTCGATTCTAGCATGCTCGATGTCAGACTGTTTGCCACTTTTGAATGAGATGTGACCCAGAGCTTTCATCTCCTCTCGTGTGCATCAACAAGGAAAACAGCAATGAGTGTGTCTACAGTGACCTGGTCCAGCCTCCTGGAGTCTGAGGGTTTGGCCACAATAGTGACTGACAAGGTCCCCTTGGCTGTCTCAGCCACCAGCTTTAGCAATTCTAAGCTGTGTTCAAGCAACTGTCCCATCATTAGCAATGTCCCCACAACGTGAGAGTGAAGACATGTTTATTATGATTGTCCTACCCTGTTATCAGGGATTATTGTGAACTCTCTCCACACCTCATTCATAAACAAGCCTTTAATGTTAGAACATATATAGAAAATAAAAACACAGCATTCATAGGAGTTGGTACTACCTGAAGTTTCAGGAGCCCAGTAGGGGTCTTGGATCAAATCAAGGATTACTTACTATACACATTAAATGAAAACAGAAATCTTTGTTTTCTTTATACTTCTTTAACACCTCTACAAGGCTCAATCATGAACTCAGAACACAGCCCAGTTCCTCATTACATGGCTCAGATGCCAGCCCTATGGCCCACATGACTGCTGGCCATCCTCCCTCCAACCATCTTGATACTTCCCTGGTGGGCATCACGCTTTAACGGCTACTGCTACTTTATTTGTGGACAGTGTCTGCCTCCTTGTCCCCCTATCTGGCTTCCTGACCACTTTTATGGCCTCATTTCTAGGGAAGTCACCCTGGCCCCCAAGCAGAACTGGCCATCCCTGGCCCCACCCTGCCCTGTGAGAGTGCCACTACTGTGCCTGACACCACATCCAGTAGTCCATCATCTTCTCAATTCTCCTCCCATCAAACCTCACTCTTTTTGTACATGTCCTGTCTCTGTGGCAGGAATCACTACCCCTCCAGTCACTGGAGTCAGGATCAGGGTGTATCTGCTGATTCTGTAAGAACATTTGGGGCTCTCAGTTCCTTCACAGACATTTACGTATTATCCCTTGTTTCCTTGACCAATGTGCTGACCTCTCTCCCAGGATGTTGGCCATAGCCTCCTCACTATGGAACCAAAAATTCCTTGGTGACCCATGTTTCCCCGAGGAAAGTCAAAACTTCACCAGTACTTGCTGGGCCCTGCATGATGTAGTACATTTACCCCAATTTATCATTCCAATTTTGTCTTTCCTGTCTTGGGAGCCTCTTGGGGAGTTCTTTCTGTACCTGTGTCATTTGTTTGCTTCTTCTGGAGCCCTTTTTACAATCTTCAATCTTTCTCCCCAACCCCCACCTCTCTGACAGGATCTGACTCATAGCATGGGGTGGTCTCAAACTCAGGGCGCTCTGCATGCCTACTTCAGCCTCCTGAGTGCTCAGGTTTCAGGCATGAACCACCACAGCTGGCCTTTTTTGAAATCCTCTAGTCTCCCTAACTCATTCATCGTTTTAATGTAAAAGACACTGCTTCCCTTCTTCTGCAAGTCCCACTTAGGCCCCTCCCTTATGAACTAGCACAGCATAGCTCCCTACACTTCCCCAGCCTTTCCCTTCTCGTGTTATATTTAAGTGTTCACCCAGTTGAACTTCTCCTTCTTATTAGCTGCACCTGGGAGGTTGGAGGAGGGAGATGAACAGAGGCAGAAACCAAGTAGGCATGTTCATGAACTTTTTCCAGAGAAAAGTTTAGTCCTTAATAAATGGTTAGGATTGATAAGCAAAGAGAGGAACATTTACTTTCGTTATTGCTGATGTGAACTCAAACTTTAGGACCACACAAGACATCTGGCCCTTCATCCTATAAAGGTCAGGGAGGGGGTGCAGCAAAAGAGACAGCAGCTTTCTACACCCACTCGGGAGCTGACACCCAGGGCAGTCTCTGAGAGCGGGAAGGCTGTTGTGAGCAGCCTTCCCACAGCTCCTTTTGCCGATTGCCTTTCTGAGTGTGCTCAGTAACTTCCTCAATGGGTCATGAGTTTTTCCAAGACTCACAGGAACTTACCCCAAAGAGTCCAAGAAGTTCCCTGTGTGTCTCTAAATGCCGCCTTCAGAATGTTTTCAGAGTTCCTGAGTTACAGATGGACTGAAACTGAATGGTGGCAAGTTCCCTTTGGAGTTGCTACCAGAATGGTCCTTGGGAGGGTTACCACTTTCTTGAGGGCCAGATAAGGAGCAATGTGTTGAGTCAGGTAAGCAGTAGTATTGATCCAAGTCTCCAAAATCCCAAGGAGCCAGAATCAAGGTCAAGGTCCTGTGGCACTGGAGGCCAGCCAGGTAAACTGGGTAGGTGTGATGGAGTAGAGTCTCCACCAGCAGACAGACAAGATGGACCCAGATGACTGAAATGCATTTGATGGTTCACATGCTCCATTAGTTCCCAGTGAGAAGAATATGTCCTAGGTCACCATGTATCCATTAGCCATTGATATTCATTTTGGACAGGGTTAGTCTAAGATGCCCATTAGAAATCTAAGCAGAGATATACATGATTTGGAATGTGACAGTGGTCTAGGCTGGAAACACACAGAGTTCATTTCATGTGAGGCAACAAAAAAGTCTTAAGGCAGCTGAGCTCATCAAGATGTGAAATGTTGAAAAAATCTACTGGTTGACTCAAGATTTACAGACTAGAGAGATGATAAAAAATTAGCAAGGAACCAGAAACGGAGCACCTGGAGAGCAGGCAGACAACCAAGCCAGTCCTAGACCTTAGGGGCCAGACGAAGAGAGGGTTCATCATTGGGGAAAGTAGTCCCTTGAGTCTAGTACTGATGGAAGGTCAGTGAGGTGAGGCTGGAGACCTTATCGGCTAGTCTAGTGACAGAAAAGACATTGGTGCTCTTGGGAAGACATTCTATGGAGTCCTAAGGATAAAACCTTCATCAGAAGGAATTCAGGAGACTAAGGAAAGATCATCACAAGTGTGGACAATTCCTGTCAAAGCTTTGCTTAGAAATGGGCCAGTAACCAAAATCAAGAGATTTCTTTTTAAAGAGGGGATAGAATCCAATAATTTGAATATTGACATGAAAGATCCAGGAAAGAGGAAAAACAGGAGAGGAGAAGTAGCTTACTGCAGCAGAGTAAAGGTCAGCAAAACAGACTCATGTACAGGCAGGCAGGAAGGATCAAGGCAGGGCACCTCACAGACCTCCTCTTCTAGTAGCCTCAGTTTTCTTAATGAGACAGGAAGCTGGATCATCAGCAGATAGCATGTGGGAAGTGAAGAAGAAAATATGGCAGAATTGTCCACGGATGTGAACGAGCCCAGATGTGTGTGTGTGTGTGTGTATGTGTGTGTGTGTGTGTGCGCGTGTGTGCGTGTGTTACTCTGAGTGCTTGGAACCTGCTATATAATGACGCCTCATGGCAGCCCTGTGAAGTAGCTCTGTTAATTGTTGCATTTATAGACAAGGACATTGAAACAGAGAATGATCAAGGAACTTATCCAAAGTCACACAGCAAGAAAACTGTAAAGCTGATTTGAACACAGGTAGTCTGACTCTAGGGCCCAGAAGCTTAACCACTAGGTTAAACTGACCCACTTAAACATATGACAGCCCATCACAAGACTGAACTAGGTAGACTACAGGTTGAATTAGTGTTTATAATATTACTATAGTGTGTCAAGACCTCTACTAGAAGCCTTTGCAACATCTCTGCACAACATGGTCATTATAGTTCCCATTTTTCTGAAGAGGACATGGAGACCCAGGAAGACTCATTTGTTTGTTAAAAGATGTAGAGGTGGGAAGAGAAAAAATTGAGTTTTGAACCTATGTTGGTCTGATGACAACCCCACACCATAGTAATAGAAATAAACTTATTAGCTGAATACATCAAAACCCTTCCTGTATCAGGCTGGAGTCTCTTGGAATCTTTATCCCAAGCAGTTGGAGAACTTGGGCAGAATGCCAGCAGCCTTCTTGATAATTTTGGATGCTGGATGCTTGAGGCAAGGAGGAGAGAATGGGAGTCAAGGTAGGTGATGAGTCTTGGAATTCTTTCCTTTTAATCAAAGCCACAGCCTTCTATCATAAACGCACTCATTCTAGCTCTACAAAAACTTCCAAACAACATCTTCTGAAGATAGTGTGCTCATAACGCCACTACACTGAACAGCCACCCACTTCCTCAAAATGCGAGGAAGCAGACAGTTAAAAAAAAAAAAAAAAGGCTATGAGGCTGTTGTTTATCACAACTTTGCCTCAGTAAGGCCTGAGTTTCTTTCGAACAGGAGCTCTGCTTCCCATGACGCAGGCTGAAGTGTCAATTGGGATATTTCTGGTAAAACTGAAAGCAAAGCAGGGTGCCAGCCCCTGGGGGACTGTGGGTGGAGTAGGGGGGGGAGCTTGGGTGCCATACACAAGTGACAGATGGATAGACCTTCCATCTGAAAGAAAGGAGGAGACACGTGAGCAAATCACCCTCAAACCTACGACTGCCTCTGAAGAGTCGTGAGGCGGAAAAGACAGACAAGCCAAAGGGAAGATCAGAAAGGCGAGAAGGGCACAGACTGTGACACACTGGCCACTTCACCAGCTACTCACCCAAACCAGAAGCAAAATGTCCCTGAAATTGCCAAGGAACTGGGATTTCAACCTGAAAGCAGAGGCTGCAAAAATAGGTACGGTCAGGGTCTAGGTCGTTTCCTGGCTTCTGGGCTTCTTATACTTGAGCACGCACCATTTGCATGTTGGGCTGCGGGAACAGTCAGTAAAAATGAATCTTGCAGCAACATTGAATTTGGGGGAAATTTGCATTCAGGTAGAAGTGCTGCCTGAAGTTCCAACTTGTTGGGAGGGGCTTCCTTTGGGTCTTGAGGTGGAGTATGTGGATCAGGTTTACTTTGGATGGTCTTAGGCTGTGCGTTGTACACAGAACTGAGTTTCTATCTATGTCATTGAAGATTCTTCCCTGTCTGGCTTGGAAACTCATACATATTTTGAGCAGCTTTCAGTAGGAGCACAAAGACTGGAGTATTTTGAAGTGTTTCATCTGTGAGTGAACTGGACCGTGTCCTGCTTTGTGAGCTGGGGTGGGGGTGGGGGAATGGGTGGCAAACTATAATAAAAAAGTAGACCTGGAGAACAAGAGCATAGAATCAGTCAAATGTGTAATAGAGACAGACTTAAAGGAACAGAATATGAGAGAACTCAGGAGAGCTGAAAAAGACGTACTTTCATTAGATAAACAATAAATTCTGAGATATTCTGGCCCTCAATTCATACCATTTCCCTGTACAAATAATGGTGATGCATTTAGTTTAACCTATTATTTGGTACTATGTAGGTGTCTTTTCTTATTTTGGTTTTGTGTTTTTGTTTTTGTCTGAGGCAGGTCTAACTGGCCTGGAACTTGCTTTTGTAGGCTAGGTTGGCCTCAGACTCACAGAGATCCATCTGCTTTTGCTTTCTGACTGTTGGAGTTACAGGCACAGCCACTACATCTGAGATTTCTTTTATTATTAGATTTTATCATTAAATTGATCACAGTCATTTATATAGAGGTTGGGACTTGAAAGATAGTGTATATTTCACACACACACACACACACACACACACACACACACACACACACACACACACACACAGCACATCCAAGTGGAGAGATGATTTCCTTGATAGTAGATGTAACTGCCCAGGTGTTTGCAATGGCTTGGAAGAATTTTGTTGTGGAAAAAAGTTTAAGTTGGATTGCTCATGGTGGTTGGTGCATTAAAATAAGTGGTCTGTTGAAATGTCAGAAATGGGGAGCTGGTCAGCAGAAGGATTTGAAATTAAATAGAGTAATCAGAGAAGCCATTAACTTGGTGACCAGGGGACTGGCATCTCATCAAGCTGGAATTGTGTGCTAGATCAGTTCACAGAAAATAAGCAAGAGCTTGCTTTCCCATCCACACAGATCTATGTTTCTAACACTCAACCTATGTCACCAAAAATCCATTTTTAGGCAAAATGCCTGTGGCTCTGCTCCTTTGTAAATGTTCTGTCTCTTCTTACACAAGTACGTTCTTTTCTCTCACCTTCTGTGTTTCAGCTGAGGTTAGAATCTCAGTCTCCTTTAGTTGAAAATGGGAAACAAGAAAATGAATAGTTAAATAGGCTTTGTTTTCCAGAGATACAGAAAATTACCACATTAGATTCCCAAGCCTAGGGTTAGGTTGGGTGGTTTTCTTGATTGTACCAGAGTTTCTTAAAGGTATCCCCTGCATAAGCTGCTATAAAGCTATTTCTGTTGCTGGCTAAAAATACATACTCCTAGTCTCCACCCTATTGAATAAAAAATCAGGCTTTCTAGAGGGGTCCCCAGGGTCCTGCATTTTAATGAGCTCCTACCTGGTAAAGAGTTGCAGGTGTCCTGGGCTAAGTGCACAAGCCTCGGTGAGTATCACAGAGCTTTGTCACTGGGCTAGATTGGCAAGCAAGCAGTATTTGTTGGCTTAAAGAAGCCTGATTGGTAGGAGCCATTACTTAGTATTACTTAATGAAAAAAAAAACAACAATAACAAAAAAAAAAACGAACGACACAGTGTTCACAGCAGTCTTTGCCATTTTCCATGCCTTCTACTAGTAGGTCACCCTCAGGGTCTAGACCACAGCAGAGTGTCACATGAAGTGGGATCTAGATTGTGAGGAGACCCTTCTGAGGAGAAAGTGCCTGACTCAGTTGCAGAATCTTCAGTCCCCTCTCCCACACATGTCCAGGAAGATCTGTGGAACTGGAAGACCCCACTGAGAAGCCAGAGACTATAGTTTTTCTGGCCTGGATGGTGTGGTGTCAAAGGGCCAGGGCTCCTGCACCTGGTCACTGCTGACATTTGTTGCAGGGGTATTCCTGTGCATTGTGAGATACTCAGCAGCATCCCCGGCCTTTACCTAGAGGATAGAAGCACTTCTCTTACTGTCATCCATTGTCAAAACCAAAAATGTCTCAGACATTGCCAAGTGAGTCCTTGGAAGGGTGTGTGGTGGCAATAATATCTTCTCTAGATCACTACACCAAAAATAAGGTCATGGGGGATTGGATCCCATGTATATCATCCATCATTCACTTCCTAGCTCGATTTTCATGAGGTTCTTGTTAAGATATATCTTGAAAGGAGGGGAGGGAACTTAAAAACAGAGCCAAGCCAGTAGCTTGCTGGGATTACAAGAGCCTGACCACTATGGAGCCCAGGAGGGGCCTGAGCTTCCTTTTGGTTCCTCAAATCTTGAGTACTGAGCCGGGGCTGGAGGGAAAGTGAAACTCTCTGAGATGGGGGAGGACTCTGCAATGTTTCCTTTTCAGGGAACTGAGGAGACCCTCGGGGTGACAGGACTTCCAGGAGACCACCACCGTGGCCTGGATGCTCTTGATGCCGTGATAGGAAAACATGAACAAGGCCATCTTGTATCTGACCTACCAATCATGATGGGGAATGAGGGCTGGGACTAGAACAAGTATGGAGGAAGGCAAAGCCAGCAGTCTGGGCTTGAGGTGGGACCTGGAGCATCTTTCTTCGTTAGATCCTATATCATCTTCTCTTCTAGTGCAGCAGTTCACACCATATTCATGTTCACACAGTTTCTCAAATGCTTACACTCTTGCGCATTGTGTGTGTATGTGTGTATACGTGCACAGGTATGTGTGTGTTTGTGTGTGTGCATATGTGTGCACATGCATGTGGAGGCCAGAGGACAACCTCAGCCATCATTCCTGAGATATGTTCTCTCATTGGCTTGGAGCTCACCAAGTAGGCTAGACTGGTTGATATGAGCCCCAGAGATGTGTGTCTACCTCCCCAGTCAAACACAGGCCTGACTTTTCGTTTTTGTTTTTTTCCCATTGGTTCTGTGGGTTCAAACTCAAGTACTCTAAAACAACTGAGCCATTTCCCCAGCCTTGTGTATTTGTCTTTCTGACTGAGCTCTGATTTATCAATGCCAAAAGACAAGTTCTGGGACCTAGTATCCTTTCTCCTGATCTGTGTACCCAGGGTCCTTGAGCCATCAATGGGGCAAGGGCCTCTGCTCTGCACTGTGCCAGTGTCTGGATGGACGACCTCTGTGAATTTTAAGACCATCTCTATCATATCCATTTGCAAACGCATCTTATTTTTGTTCACCCCTCCTCATACAAAACAGGGCTCTACAGGGCCTAGTAGTTATAGGTTTCTGAAGTACACAATGAAACTGACTTGCAGGGAAACTGACTTGCAGGAAACAAAAATGATTTATTGCAGTATCCAAATAGTGCACAAAGCCAGCTGGCATTCCCAACTGATTCCCATTTGGCCAGTGTAATCATTGCTTGTCTCTCACAGGGTCTATTTTTGCCCTTTAGAAAATCAGAGTAAAGGGAATGAAAACATTTGTTATTAGGGCTGGAGAGGTGGCTCAGCAGTTAAGAGCACTGGATGCTCTTGCAGAGGACACAGGTTCTGTTCCCAGCACCCACATGGTAGCTAACACCTATCTGTAACTCCAGTTTCAGGGGCTCTGACACCCTCTTCTTACCTCCATGGGCATTGTGCAACATGGGTTTTACACACTATTGGTTTTTATTCATGTTAAAAGAAGTTTGAACATAAGTAGGGAGACTCACAGATACCTGGAGATAGAACTGAATATATAAAGACAACTGTGAATTGTTAAAAGTGAGCAGACAAGACAAATAAAAATAATGGTTAACCAACAAATGAAAACGTGCAATCTCAGTAGTCAGGGGAGGCACGTGAAAAGCACAACGGCATACTTGTCCTCATCTACCAAACTGGATAAACCAAGAAATCTGATAATTCCAAGTGTTGTCCATGATAATAGTGCAGTGGGATCTCACAAGCCTAGGACACGGGCATTGTGGAGAAAAGCTCAGCCAAGGTGAGGATGTGCAAACCCTACCGTGTGGTGTTTCTCTCCCGGGAATAGAGCTGGAGAAGTTCTGTGCCAGCAGAGTAAATGTGCAGAAGCAATCAGTGTTCATCAGTGAGGGAATGATTTAGCACATGGTAACACGTTACAGGATGGAATACTGCACAAAAGCAAAGTATAATTAGTTACAGTTACACACAAGGGAAATTGAACAGCAACAACTAAATACTGGGCAAAAGAAAGAAAGAAAGTCTCAGAAGAATAGAGTGGAAATCATTTACATTCAGTTTAAAACGACATATGCCGTGACAAAAAGGGAAACAAGGAACCAAACCGGCTGATTATAAAATTCAGAGTTCTTCTTTATGGGTTTTTTTTTCCTTCACATACAAGGTCAAGAACCTTTAACTGCTTGCGGAGTGTGTGCTGGCCTGCCTCAAAAGCAAAAGCAGATGTTGGGTGAATGGCTGTTTCCTCTCATTCAAGCCATGCATCCTACCCCTGCTGGTAAAATCACTGGCATGCTGTTGGAGATTGATAACTCAGAATTACTTCATATGCTTGAGTCTCCAGAGTCTCTCCACTCGAAGGTTGATGAAGCTGTAGCTGTACTACAAGCCCACCAAGCTAAAGAGGCAGCCCAGAAAGCAGTTAACAGTGCCACTGGTGTTCCAACTGTTTGAATTGATCAGGGACCACGAAGAGAAACTCGTGCTTCACCAAAGAAAAATATCTAAACATTGAAAAATTTAAATTTTATGAAAAAAACATTGCA